TGTTGGAATTCATGCCTGAATACAAAAATTAATTTCTTAGTTTAGTTAAACATTTTCTCTTTTCCACCCAAACACTCAGGGTGACATTTATGGCTTTTCTTAGAAAATAGAGACGTGAAGAAAAACAGTCCTCATGGTGAGTCACAAAGGAGAGGCTGAAGAAAATTGAAACAAGGGCCTTTTGTCAAATGGGTCCAGAGAGTGAAAACTATCATGACTTTTAGTTAGTCGTCCTAGAGACTTCGTTGGAGAAAGATATACCTTCTGCGTGCGATCATTAAAGAGTTTTATTTTGAAGAATAAAACTAATGTGTTTTTATTGAGTATTCCTACACATAATCCAATAAATACAATTCGATTTCTTCTGATGTCTTAATGAAAGAACAAAATATTCAATTCTCTAGGAAATTCTGTCGAAAAACGCTTTTTTTAAGATGAAAATTTTACTCAACCTGTTTTTGAAGAATGGAATAACTGTGCATTCTGTCAGGAGATAGCTATATTAACTATCATGCGTTAGAAAAATCCACTTCACCGGAGAAATAGGAGCTGAGATATTTGACAAAAATTTGTGGGTCGAATCGACCCAGGTGTGCAAGTAAAAGGGGGTCAAAAAATAAGTGAGCAAGTTAGGGGTTTACATAATCTGATGAAAAGTTCTTAATACATACCTGTAGCAGAGATGTCCTTGTTTCCAGTAGGTTTCTCGGTGCTGTGTTTCTCCACAACCACTTCCTCGTCATCATCATCATCACTTAAGTGTGCTTCAAAGTTCAATTCGCTTTCCATCGACTTTCCAAGAACTTCCAAATATGGATGCGGCTTTTGAACACTCCATTCATCCAAATCATTTGAAGAACTGTATTTAGGAGCCCCAAAGCCATCAGGATTATTTTCCTTATCGAATTCCTCCTGTTGAATGCAACTCGCCAGTAACGCAGATGCAAATTGATTATCTATTATGAAGATAACGATCAATTGTTTTAGTATGAGCACTTCAANGGAAGTTAGCTACAAGAATTACGAAATTAGTAGGGTCATGGCGCACCGGAGAATTTTTGGCGAGTCCACAAGAGACGTTTCATGACGATGTGAAGGGGCTATTTAGAACAGCGCGCGAGAATTACAAAGCGCCCAGCCAACAATTTACCGGGAATTTGTCGGTAATTTGTTGACATAGGACCGGATCTTTTGTCAACATTGTGTCGACAAAAAGACGGTAAAGTTTTCGGATAATGATTGATTATATCATAACATCAATCGGCAAATTATCAGCGAAATTGTTCATGAAATTATCCGTAAAATTTATCTGTAAACTTGAGGTAAAGTTTTATCCGTAAATTTTACGGTTAATAAATCGTCAAATAATTCCCAAATTGGAGGAAAATTTACCGACAAATGTTGCGAAAAATTTACCGATAAATTTTGCAGAAAATTTACCGATAAATTTGGGGAAAATTTACCGATAAATTTACGGAAAATTTACCGATAAATTTTGAGGAAAATTTACCGATAAATTTTGAGGAAAATTTACCGATAAATTTACGGAGAATTTACCGATAAATTTACGGAAAATTTACCGATACATTTACGGAAAATTTACCGATAAATTTCTCATAGTTTTTTCCCGATTGCATGATCGGAAAATGTCGAGAACGAAAATGGAAATCGTTTGGGCAATTGTTTGTTCATTTGATAATGTATACACGAAGAGAATTCTTTAACAGAAATTATACCCTTCTACCGTGGGTGTGCTAGTTTTCGGATACTTTACAATGCTATGCTATTTGGATAGTACCCGGACCGAGCTGACAGTTCTTAGTATTTGTAAAGGGCCCTAAAAAAGTGGGAAAGAAGCCAACTTCGCAGTATCCTGATGGGTGGAAGGGATTCAAACGGGTTAAAAACTTCAAACACGTCCAAGGGCCTACGTTTTCAAGCGATTGAGCTGAAAATTGGTATACATATATGGCACAAACGACAATTTATAGACAAGGCAACTGAGTCAAAATTTTTAATTTGTCTATAATTTTGATATCTTTCTATATCTATTGAGAGCAACAATTCCATTCAAGGACCACCCTTTAGCTGTTCTCATGACTGAGATATCGAATTTTCAATTTTTATAAAAAATGAGAAACACTTTCTTTTCAAGCGTATTTTACGAGCCTTAGACTCATTTCAAGGGGAGGCTCCTGGGAATTTTTAAAGTCAGGGGTAATCGAAATAAGATTTCTCATCCGTTAGATATCCATTATAAATAGGGGAGGGTGGAGCAAAGTGGAACGTTTGTGATCGACTTTAATTCTTGATATCTTCGTTTATAAGCAAATATATTGGGATTTTAAGTCGATGACAAACACTTGCCCCACCCACCCCTATGTAAAAACTAAAAACTAGTGTAGAAATAGTATATTTCGATACGAGTGAGACGGAATTTCCACGAGTGTGACGTTGCCAATCACACGAGCTGAAAATTCCCGTCTCACATGTGTCAAACGATATTTTTCGACTGTAATTTTACGTTCAGCGAGTGGCGAACTGTGCCCTTTTCGATTACAAATAAACGAAAAGCTTTTCC